ATCACATACTCCTGTGAAGTCTCCTTCCACAACAAATAGGACTCATTCATATCAATGAAATCAATAGGATAAACAGGAGGGTGACTTCTGAAGTAAGGTCATAAAAGAATTAGCAACTCCCCCTTACTGTCTCAACTTGTACACCCTAGGGGAAGTCAGTTGCTATGATGCGAGGCAATTCAAACAGGCTGGAAAGGTCCATGGGAGGGGAAGAGAGGTCTTTTGCCAATTATGAGAACTTGCTAACTATATGAGTCAGGCACCTTGGAAATAGATCCTCCTGCTTCAGTCACATCTTCAGAATGTTGCTGCCTTGTATGACATCTTGACTGCAACCATGAAACACCCTGAGCCAGACCACCCAGTTAAGCCATTCTTTACTTTATTACCCACAGACTTCTGTAATCAAAGTTTATTATTGTTTTAATCCACTGTTTTGAAGTAATTTGTTATGGAGCAATGAATAACTAATATGCTGGCCTATAGTTCATGGATGAGGTTAGCCTTCCAGAGGAGGATACAAAGGTGAGTGCTGTCAGTCTGTGAATGGAAAGAGGAAATTTGATGACTAAATTTTCTTGATAAAAGGAGCAAAGTCATCCACTGAAAATGGGAGTAGAAAGTAGGGACTAAAAAGTTGAATTCTGAAAAGAAAATTGCCACCAGTAAACTAGACTAGCCATAGAGTGTTTCGATAGCCATAGCCACCAGAGAATCTGAAGAAGCCAACCAAGCAGGAATTGAGTTTATCTGCAATAGAGCCACTTGGCACATTTATGCGAGTTTCTAGAACTATGCTTGATAACCAAAAATAAATATAGTAAGAGATGGTAGGATTCATTTGGCTTTGGAAATAGTAAAGGTGTTGAGACGCTAGAAGAAAAAGGAATTCAGACAAACCACTGGGGTCCAAGTTGAAAGACATGGAAATGAGTTTATGCAGAAACACAGTCTAGGAGAAAGAGGATGAGCACAGAACCAACATTTAGGGAACAGGATTGTAGAGAAGCCAAGAGCAGTACATTAGAAATCAGAAATCCCAGGTTATGGTCAAAGCTTGCCACGAACAAGCTGTGTGTCCCCAAGAAAGATCATTAAGATAAGCACTTGTCCTCAAGGTTGGTTTGAACCACAAGGTTGGCAGTTCAAACTTACCAGCTGCTCTTTGGAAACCCTACACAGGGCCGCTATGAGTCTGAATCAACTCAACGGCACTTAATGGCAATGTTGAAATAGAACTCCTGGTGTGGTGCTGTAGGGATAAGCACTGGACTGCTAACCACGAAGTCAGTGGTTCAAGTTCACCAGCTGCTCCTTCTCAGAAACGCTATACAGGGTCACTATGAGTTGGAACTGACTCCACTGCACTTCACAAGTGCTAAAGTATGTAAAATGCCAAGTAAAAACAATGACTTGCATATAATAAGCACTCTTTAACTATCCTTAAATGTTTATTGTTTTAAAGTTATATTGAGAAACTTACTACCTAATTTCCAGGGCCTCTCCTCTAGATAACCGCTATCTTGAATATTGTAATTCTTTCCTTTTAAAAAACCTCATGTACCATATCTGTACAAGGCCTGTCTCATCATATGTAAGATGAAACTGGATTAGGTGCTAAACTCCTTTCCAGATGTAAGAGTACATAAGATAGGTGCATATCCAAGTTACATCTGGTGGGATTGTATTAATGTTTATTTTAAAAGGTTTTTGTAAAGCTAAAAGGTTGACTTCTGTTGAAATCTCCAATTTAACAAAAGGACACCTCAATGAAGATTCTAATCTCATGATCAAGAGTTTCTATCACTTTCAATTTGTATCTCTGTTATAAAGCTCTACTCTAGAGAAAACCAACACAAACACACAAGTAATGTAGGGCCCTGACCCTCACACCAAAATTTGAGGCAACAGAACTGAAATAGACTTGGAAAGCATACTTTTAGTGACAAGAACTTCAATAAAAAATTAAGAGACACGGTTGTTGCATATATAGGAAGTTTTTATACAACCTGGATTTTTTTTTAATGTTTTATTGTGAATTATATGATAGTTTATATGAGAGAACTTTAGTTTTACATTCATTCTATCGTATATCGTTTCATTGCCATGGTTCCAATCCCCTCCATGCATCATCAACCAACCAAAGGGTATACCCTACAAACCTGCCCTTACACTCACACCCGCCCCCCCCAACCCGGTGGACTCAACTTGATGGCACTTAACAATAAACCTTCATTAAACAGGTTAAATACAAATGCAAACCCTGTTCTCTAGGGTTACCGTCCGGCCCAGGAAGGCATACTTCCTAGCTAGAAACAATTTCAGATTTCCTATTTGTCTTACCAGTTACCACTGCCAGTTGGACAAGGCAGTGGAATTGCTATGCAGAGGGCAAATGCCCTGGTCAAATACAGGTCTACATTTATCAGACCTCAGTGTGCCTGGAATAGAAAGTTAACCCAGGCAGGCTGTTGGTATAAGGCAACAAGTTAATGTATCTTTCAGTGGCCTTAAGAGAGGTCAAGACTGGGAAGCAGATGTGAGTTATGTTCTGAACTGTTAAAAGTTACCAGGAAAACTGACCAGAAGACCAGTAGTTTTCTCATGAATTAGTTCTTAAATGAAATCGCTCTCCTTCCCAAGGTCAGTCAGTCTTGCTTCAATCATTTAAAATGTGGTACATGAATTATCTTGATATTTATAATTCACCTCTTTAAAAATGGCAAACGTATCACAACTCAGTTTTTGTCTATTTTGAAGTGTAATATGAATTGGGAAAAGTACAACTAAAGCACCTCAATAATGCCAGTACAGATACATACATTTCTGGTCTAAGAGACGAACACAAGTAGCTACTGTTCTGCCTCACCAACATAAGAGTTGTTAAGTGGTGTGGAGTGGGTTCCGACACATGGTGACCCTGTATAGGGTTTTCAAGAAGCAACTGGTAAGTATGAACCGTCCACACCTTGTGGTTCAAGCTAACCTTGCCGTCCAGGGCTTTATCCCACAGTACCACACCAGGACTCCAATTATCAAAGTACTGCAGTGTATTATTTGAAATGAAATCTAAATACTGTCCTTTTAGCTCAGGCATAGCTACCTACTACAAGCTAAGCACCACTTAGCACCTACATTTGTTTATTCCTAGTGAGAACATTTGCAAATCACAATGGCACTTTGGGAATCCCTCCAGAGAAAGCTGTGGAAGCCCTGGGTAAGACCAGAAGGCTAAGCTTCTGGGCTAAGCTTCTGAAGTATTTCTACATTTAACCTTGAACTATAACAATTTAACTAAAACTGAAGTGAATATATTCACTTGTTTACCTTCACACAGTTCAATTCCAAAGGAAAGGTATTCCTTCTAAAAAAAAGAGGTTCTTCAGATAAATGAGCTTCCCCTCCCAATTTCTGATTATAGTTATTTCTTTGTACTAGGTTCTTGGGAATCTCTCAAATATTTCTAGCAAACTAAATCCAGACTAGTGAATCTAAGCCAAATAGAAATCCTAAGCAGTCTCTTAAAGCTTCTGAACCAGCCAAACTGGCTGCTTTAAATCATTAGTTTACTAACAAAACAAAAGGATCATCTATTTTGTTAGCTAACAAAATTAACACAGGCAAGCATTCTCCTATAGTGAGAGCTACTCACATTCCTTAGAGGTCAGAAGTTTTGGAACTAAATTCTAATAGTCATGAGCAAGGAGACGTTCTCCTAAAATAAAAAATGTCTATGAATGACAGATATTAGCTTACCTAGATCCTAAAGATATATATATTTATATTAAAAAAAACCACCAAGTAATTATTTTCTATTTAATTCCTTTATTGAATTGTATTCAAGTAGATAAGTTTTTGGTAAGAGACTCTGCTTGTTGTTCCTGAAGTAGGATTTCCGAGTTACAAATGTTTTGTTTTGTTAACACCAAAACAAACAAAATAAAAAAGTTTCATATTTTTCAGTAATAAGACTAATCTAAAAACACAGTTAGATTTTTGTGGGGTGCTGACTGACACACAAACATAGGGAACCAGAACTAGGGGGCGTAACAGGTGTTTCCTCCCTCAATAAACTGCCACCCTCTCCAGAATAAATAGTCTAGTTATTCACTTAAGGTCACAGAGCTAGAAGCACAATCGGGGGGTTTGTTGAGGACCTCTTTTCAGAGACTTGAACTAAATAAACAGATACTTCTGCTACATTAAGTGAGAATCCTATTTTGTGTACTATTCTTAGTAGGAGGCATTCCACAGGAGTCTGGTTTCCTCTTATCTGTTATCCACAAACAATGATAGAGATCATTTTTGGAATTACCCATCAAGTATACTTCATCTGAGTCCCAAATCCCACTTCATGTCAGACAATTTAAAAACCAAATAAAGCCTGAAAACAACTAAACAAAAGTAATCCATACAAACTAAAAACGGACCCAGGGAGATTATGAAGTCTCCTTGTAAGGGGCAACATGCTGCTAGGACAGCCAGAGCCTTGAGTGTTTCAGAAGTCTTGTTATACAGACACCCCAGAGCAGTAAGCAGGGCCCATCACACTTATAAGTTTTGAATCTTAAAATTCACACACAAGTGGAAAGCCTCTCTTCTTTTCACATGTGCATCAGTTGCCCCGCTCCAGCCCAGTCCTCACACCTATATAACTAGGAATGGAGAGGAGGTTAAAAGAAAAGAAACCTACCCTAGGTTGGACAAATTTAGGAGGCAAAATGTCTTGTTATTTTCGACAAGAATGGGGCATTTTACTACATAAATACTATCACCAATCTCAGTGACTCTTTGGATAAAGATGCACTGATCAGAAAAGGCCCATTCTTTTACATGCTGAAAAGAACTGGGTCCAAGTGCGTCAGAGAGCACAAATGTTTCTAACCCGTGTCTACTTTAGAATCACTTTAAATCATTATGTTTCATTAATGTGCAATGGGATGAGATTTCTAATTTTTGTGCTGCAGGTATTTCTTAACTAAATTATCAGGTTAGCTAAGTCAATAGTTTATTTGGAACCAGTTTTTCTGAGTACGAGGGTTCTTGCATCAAGTGAATGAGGACTCAAATGAGGGAGAAAAAAAGGTACTTGTCAGTTTGAAAGTCACAGTTTATCTTTCTATAATTAGATTATGAAGAAAATGAAGAGCCCGTTGGTAGCAGGAAGAAGCAAGAGTCTTCTAAGTCTGGCATCTGCAATGAAATGGGAAAAAATAGATTCTCAGTTCCCGTCGATGAGAACAGGACCAAATACATCTCACAATGGACTATACAACTGCAACCTGATTATAAAAATCTCTTATTTGGCTGGACGACTCTGCTGTTGCTAATGGCAGAACAACAAGTATCTTCCAAGCTATAGCTCTTTAGTGTGAACTAAGCACACAGAAACTTGTTAAATGAATTAAAAACGTTCTTATAGCAATCGATGTATACTCCTTATGTCATCGGTTTCACGAGTAAGAAGGAAATCAGAAATGATTATTCAGGCAATTAACTTCAGATAACGCTGGATTAATTCCAATTAATTTATATTTTCTTTTCTTATAGTCTCAGTCATTAATTAAAAAATATTTGAGTTTCTGCAATATACATTAAGGGAACAAAATTAATACTGCTTTTGCAGCACTTATCTAGTAAAAAGTTGAATTATTGATAAAAATAAAAATGTAAGTGGAATAAAAGCTAAGTGCTAAGTAAATGTAAAACTTTTATATATATATATGTAAAATCTCCATTCACACTTAAGCTACTTAAGAGCACAAATCATGTCTTCTATTTCTTGTATATCCAACCAAAGAAGCTAGAGAAAACGTCCACAACAGGCATTTAGAAAACGATGCTTCATTTAAGAGAACAAAGAGGTCTGTGACTCTTTATGAGATAAGGATTCTTTATCTAATCTAGAATATCTATTTTTTCTGATCCCACAAGTATTATAAAGAAAAAGAAATATTCAGTGTATTAGGAGTTTAACAGTAAAGGGTCAGGTTCCAAAAGAGAAAAGTATCTGGTATTATGTTTTATAGATAGGAGTTTTTCCTGTGTTTTCATCTTAGAGCATCCATTTTTGTTAGATGGTATCCACACTATATAGTCATTACACATCCTGTGCAGTGTGTCAGAGACGAATTCTAAGTGGACCATTTATCTAGGTCCTGGTGTGGTGCTGTGGGGTAATATGCAGGACTGCAAGGTTGCTTTAAACCACAAGGCTGGTGGTTCAAGCTCACCAGCTGCTCCTTGGAAACCTTGTACAGGGTTGCTCTGAGTTGGAACCCACTTCACGACACTGACAACAACATTCAGAACATTCCGTATGTACTTTCCTGACACACCCAGTAATTTTGGGTCTTACACTTCAGGGGCCAAATTCCATTTTCTGGCTTCTGTATGTATTTAATAATTTCATGTACAAACTTAACTAAGAAAAATGATTGGCACCTAGCAGCAGCTGGTATAAGTGTTACTAGCTAAAGAGTGTTTGCTTTTAGCATCTCTTTTCTACTTTTCACTAGAAAAAACATCAGTTCTGATACAAAATGAAACTGAACTCATGGATCCATTTACTTTATTGTGTAGAGAGCGCAAGTGACCTGGGAGGCAATAGGTCAATTATTTATTATTCAGTATATATTCACTAGAATCCTGGTGCGGCACTGTAAGATACACAATGGACCACTAACTACAAAGTCAGTAGTTCAAAGCCACCAGCCGCTCCTCAGAAACCCTATACAAAGTCATTCTGAGTCAGAACCAACTCGATGGCACATAACAATAATCAGGGTTCCAACTAGAGTGAGGTATGAATGAGGTGCTTAACAAAAACAAGTATATTCAGTGAGGGCCTACTATCTGCAAGACAGTAGGAGATAAAATCCCATTTCCTACCCTTATAATATTCCTTTACTAGGGAATAACATGGCCGGCAACCTCAGTCAAGACACCATTTGAAGCATCAAACTTGGCTCTGTGCATAGAGGAACCTAAAGGCGAAGTTTTCATCTGTGAAAGAATCTGGTCTCTTCAGATTTTTTGAGGTTATACCAAATCAAATACTTGGTTAGATACAAGATCAACAGTGCAAAACTTAGAAAACCAAAACTTTTTAAGTGCTTATTAAAAAGTATGAATTTTTTGATGAGTGTTAAACTGTACTGCACAGGGAAAAAATTGCACAGCAATGAAGCACAGCTGTCTGATTAATCTCAGTCCATTACAGAGGCGTGATAGATCTACAATGCAACTTTGATAAAAAAAAAAAAAAAAAAGCAGTGTGTACCAACGTTAGAGAAAACAACTTGGCATGTTAACAAAATTCTAATTTAACCAGTAAATGCCTATTCATTAAGCGTGTAAAGCTATAACAGAGGCTATATACTTAAAAAACACATGCACACACAAAGCTTTAATTTGGTACCATAATCTGAAAGAAAATTGGTCCTAAATTACTTTATGTCCAGTTAAATCTTGCTGCCATCTGAAGAGATAGTGAAATAAAACTGAAACACTTACTTGATGAGATATTCAGTTACTGTGTGTTTCCATCTACGAACAGAAAATATTTTAAAATAAGCACACCATGTCAATTGACATTCATTCCATTCCCTAGTCTTCCTATAAACACAAATGACTTATTCTTGGAGTATGCTGAATTATAACATAAAAGGTAGAATTTAAATTTAGTGATTGAATTCTTCTCAAGAGCAGCATGGAAAAAGAATACTTCACTTATTAATTAAGTCTTTTGACATTTAATTTGGTGGTGTTCTCTTTCTTGGGAACTGCAAGTAATCCAGAGGGAAATGTTTTTTAAAGGAAATTTTCTAGTCACCTAAAAGTTAGCTCAAATAGAAGGAAAGACTGAAGTCAAGAGCATCTGAATTTAGTGGCAATGCTAGGAGAAGTTGTTGTTGTTAAGTGCCATCGAGTTGGTTCTAACCCACAGCGACCCTGTATAGGGTTTCCGAGGAGCAGCTGGTAAGCTTGAACCACCAACCTTGCAGTTCAAATGACTTTGCAGTCTGGTGTATTAACCCATAGTGCCACACCAGGAGAAGATAGCTTACATTAAATAAAATGACTTAATATGTTAGGTACTCCATATGTAAGAATATCTTTATCACATATGGCATATTTTTTGTCGTTAAGTGCCGCTGAGTTGGCTTCGCCCCATAGTGACCCCGTATATGGTTTTCTGAGGAGCACCTGGTGAGCTTGAACAACCGACCTTGTGGTTCAAACTGACTTTGCACTCCAGTGCATTAACCCTTAATGCCACACCAGGACTCCAAATGGCATATGTTATGATGCAAATTTACCATCTGTTTACCCAGCATTGCCTCTGGTGTCTAGAGAAGACATAGAAGTGACATTCCTTATATGGATTCTATGACATTTTCTTTCTACCCATTTCTTTTAAGGCCTTTGTAATACAATTTTTAGTCCTGATTCCCTACTAATGTGGTATCCTGAAAGTGAGGAGATGATTTGCTTTTACCCAAAATCAACAGTCTTTTAATTGACCCCAAATTTACTAATGGTATTTGACATCAGTGATACTCTATCTTGAAACTATTCATTTGTGTATTTTCCTATTTATAATTTCTTGTCCCTCATCAGGGTGTAGAGCTGTAGGATAAAGTATTGGACCGCAAGGTCAGAAGTTCAAACTACCAGCTGTCCTCTGAAATCCTATATGGGGTTGCTATGAGTGGGAACCAACTTGATGGCACTTAATAACAACAATAATCAGGGTTGGAGTCCTGGTGTAGTGCTGTAGGATGAGCACTGCAAGGTTGGTTTGAGCTGCAAGAATGGTGGTTCAAACTCACCAGCCGCTCCTTACAGGGTTCACTGTGAGTCAGTATTGATTCAAGGGCCCTTAACAACAATTAGGGTTAGAACTAGGTTGAGGTATGAATGAGGTGCTTAGGATTTAAAATTTAAGGAGGCACTCAAGGTCAGGGTGATACAAGTGCAAGGTTTTCAGACAGAACATGTGTTTACATAATTAAGACCAACTGTACTTACATAATGAAAACACTAAAAGCATAATTTTGCTTTTGTTTCACTTACTGTTTTTCCATGGCAAAACATACGGCAGAGACTTGGGAACTCGCATGCCTGAAGCCAGGTTACTCTTGTGTTCCATAACTATGTTGCTTGCAGGGCTGCAAAAAGAAAATCTGACTATGCAAGCACATCTATATTTTTCAGGCAGGCACATATAAGACAAGCAAAATGTGTTTTGTAATTTGAAGTAAACAACCTACATTCATCTGAAATATAAACACATTTCCATCAAAACAATCCTGCAATTAAAATGATTTTCTCTGGAAAGCTTACTGTTCTGTACAGGCATTAAGATGGGTCTAACCATTTACGCTTTATAGAAGTTGAGATAAACAGCAATGCCATCTACTGTTCAGTGTATGACAGGCTCATCAACTTAGTAAATGTAAGTGATAAAACAAAATGCCAAGACAACTAACCCAAGAGCAACAAATCTCATAGAACTGAGGTACAATTAAAGTTGTACCAATGGAATTCATCTTTAAGTTTTGCTATCTTAGTGCATACACAAAATAGTTTATACTCAGTTATTAACTGACCTCAGGAATTAAGAAATAAAAAATTGGTAATTATTTTATTTGGGTGAAAAAATGAAGTCCAGAATCTCATTCCTTCATTTTCTATTCCAGAAATGTTTTCATTTGGGTTTGAAACTCATCTAAGGTTTTTGAGTCTTGGTAGTAAGTAATAGACATAGGGTAAGTGGGAAGCAGAGATGTATTTTCTTCTCTACTGAATAGGTTTCCTGAATCTCTCAGTTTCAAAGCAAGAACTTGAAAAATATTTCCCCTAAACATTATTTATCTACACTAAAAGTGATTAAGTGGTACAATTGGAGAATTTGTTCAAACAATTAAAATAATGTGAACCTAGTGTAAAAACCAACTACGATACAAGCATGTCTTGGAGCCACTGTCTTTCTTACTAGACAAAGTAGCATCTTTTGTACCTTTACCTGCCTCATGAATAAATATAGGAAAAACCTGACACATCCACCCAAACAAAATCTAGACTAAGTTAATACCAATGAGCATTAAGAAAAGAGGTTAATTAATGTTTAGGTGGTTTGGGTAAGTGTAACATTCTGATATTTGGAGGCAGTGTTGGGAATGTAACCATTTTATTTACCTGTTGTTGCCACAGTAGTTGGCTGTGCCCCAGACAAATGGGGTGCTGGTTTGTTCCCACAAATCTGCCAAAGGAAGCAAAACATAGTTTGTACAACTACTAGGTGAGACACCAGTTCCTGTTAGTTGAATTTTTTAAGATGGGATATAATACACCTAAAGGAGCTCTGGTAGCGTAGTGGTTACGAATCGGGCTGCGAACCTTAAGGTCAGCGGTTCGAAACTACCAGCTGCTCTGCGGGAGAAAGATGAGGCTTTCTACTCCCGTAAAGATTTACACCCTCGGAAACCCTATACAGGGTCGCTATGAGTCAGAACCGACTCGATGGCACATAACAACAACAACATAATACACCTAAGTTTAGAAATGCAAGTAAAAAACTGATTAGGTGTCTTGCTTAAGTGACATAGTAGCAGGAATTTAATTGAAGGATATAAACACAAACGACATAAATAATAATAAACGTGCCTAGTAACAACTGAACACAGATGGTACAGCATAATTTATGGAAAAAAACAGATGTAAAGAAGTGCTTTTTCCAATCAAGAGGGATAGGCTGTTTCATGTGTCTGCACAGGGATACAAATGTGCTCGTTTGGGGATCCAATAAAAATAAGGCGTTCCAAACAACATGTTCATAAAAAAGGCAAATCTTCCTTCTGTCTTAAGCAAATGCCTTGAGCTTTAGACATTGCGGAGAAAAAGTAGTAGAGGCACTTCACCTTTATCCCAGTCTTCCTCGCAAGGAGGGCACTGCCAAGTGCTCTTAGCCAGAGTCTCTTGTCCAAGGTTCCTTGTTTGGTTGACTGAAAAATAGAGATTCCCACATAAGAATGGGCTATAGCTAACTTATTGTACTTAAAGGAGCTAGTGACTTAGAAGATTGCAGGGTACTCTAATGGGTCTTTGTTTCCCAGAAAAAATGAGCAGTATGAAAGCTCAGCGGAGAGCTCTTATCTCCTTGCTGACAGAGGTATAGAGAAGCATGAAAACAAAGATGTTGCCATATTTATAGCAATAAAAGGATTTTTATTTTGAGATAAATTATTAAATGAATCAAGTTGTTCAGAAGAGAAAAGTAGTCTGACAAATACAAACTGACAAACTAATGCTGCTATGAGATAAAAATCTCAAAGGCAGAAAAACATTGTTCTTCAGAAATGATTAAAGTAAAAAAATCAAATCAAGTATATACAACAAATTTCAAGGGGCTAATATTTTAGCTACTTAGTCTTACCAACATCCTGTTCAATACAACTCTTGTCATCACAGCTTGAGATATGATGACTAATTTCGGCTCGAGGAACCTGGTGGCGAGCATTGAAGGGACAAGTAGCCAATTTGTTTGCAACATCAGGATGATTCTATGGAAACAAAATTAATGATTTGTCAGTTCTCTGAGTTTGTTAAAAGTCCAAGGGGAGTTGTTCAGCCTTATTCTACAAATGTCTCCCCTCAAAATTTTGTAGTTCAACTATGGCACACTCATAGTAGAAAATTAAGTGGTAATTATTTACTGCCTCTACAGATCATACAGACATTACTTCAATGTCCTTGAAACAGAGGCTGATAACATAGTTATGGGGTAAAAGTGAGCGGAACAATGAATTTACAATTGGATATTTGTATTGTCTCTTCTTCCTCTGTTTTCTCAGCATCACAAGATTCAGGAAGCACAGAGCCTATAATGACAGCACTTTCTGGTTGTCTTTGAAAGCTGATAGTCAAGAGATCAGCTTTATTAACACTAAAACCCATTCAATCTGCACTGCAGTAGTGGCCCTGCTATTGCAACACAATAGTGCTGGAAAACAGCTGTTGCAAGGGAGCCGCAGAAGAGGCAAACCAATGTTTTTCTCATATTAACAAAGGGACTCTTATTTAAAGTAATGATCCTGAAATAAGGCTTTGAAAAATTTGACCTTTATTTTAGCCATTTCACTAAGAAACGCCCAATTGGTACTGAGTACTCTGACCAAGTTCCTTATTTTAAAACAAGGACACAAAACAAAGTATTTAATATTACCTAGATCCTACTGTAAATATGCCAGCAATTTAGTATTTAGCAGAAGCAAAAAATGTCACAAATGATTCTCAAAAAAGTAAAAATGTGAGACAGGGAGAATGGAAAACAATACAGGACTGACAGACTTGTGAGGGTAGGCCATCATGTTCACAAGGGATATCAAGCATTCCTTTGAAAAGACGAAGAACAATGAAAGAGGGGAATTATGACACTGACTTATTATTTTTTTTAATTAAATAAATATTTTATTGTGAATTATGTGATAGTCTACATGGGAGAACATTAGTCTTACATCATTCTATCATACATCGTTTCATTGGCATAGTTACCATTCCCGAAGGGTGTATGTTCCCTGTAAGCTTGTACCCCCCCCACCACAGTCCTCAGCCCCTTTCCCTCTCTGGATTCCAAGTCCCCAGCCACTCCATCTCTTCACGTCGTCTTCTCTGCCTCCATCTCAGGCCCCACTGCTTCTCTGGGTAGGATGCTGCTCTCTGCTCCTCTCCATTGATAGTTCCAGGGCCCTCCGCTCCTGACTGAAAAGTTAATCACTCCCCTCCTTGCTACAAAATGTCCACCTTTAGATTTCCAACCCTCACAATCAGTCCTGATAACAATTATTCACTATTGCATCACAAGAGACCCATCTGTATTTCATTTCATCAACCTTTCCTGGACAGGTTGGATACTATTCACTGGAGACTCTACCTTCCTCTACGTCCTTTGTGTCTAGGTTCCCTCTTGAAAGCCTGTAAGCCAGTCCCTTCTTACCTTTGTATGCCTCCCCCCATTTTGGGTAGCCAATGTCCAAGTTGCCCATCCCTGTCTACTCTCTGTGTGGAGGGGGTGGGAATAGTTCTTGCAGACACTGACTTTTTTAATCATCTGACTCCCTTTGTCAACCTAATCTTGGGAAATGTTTGGGAGATTAAAGGGAAGAAGTTATGGTAATAGATTCTGAACCACACTGTCCAGGTTTAACCTTATGGGATCCTTGCTCTATATATTAAAAAGAACTAGAGAAATAACCAACAGAGCATGCATTATGATAATGTCTCCAGGATTATTAGAAAAACATTCTTTAATAGATGGTAAATATGAACTGTGCACAGTTTAAATACCAAAACTGTTTCCAAGCATAAATTAGGGCAGAATTTTGGCTTTTGTATCTGACATCTGCATTTTAATAATTCTTTCAAAACACCTCAAGTAATGTACCAGCATTAGTTTTTATTAGCTAAGTTTATACTTGTATAAGGAGCTCTGGTAGCATAGTGGTTACAAATTGGGCTGCTAATTTCATGGTCAGCAGTTGGAAACTACCAGCTGTTTCATGGGAGGAAGATGAGGCTTTCGGATTCCATAAAGACTTACAGCCTCTGAAACCCTTTACAGGGTTGCTATGAGTCGGAACTGACTCCATGGTGCATAACCACCACCATACTTGTATAAGGAGCCCTGGTCTGGCATTGTAGGATAAGCACTGGACAGCAAGGTTGGTGGTTCAAACCCACCAGTCACTCTTGGGAAATCCTATTCAGGGTAGCTATGAGTTGGAACTGACTTGACGGCACTTAACAACAACATACTTGTATCAGAATGATCAGACAATACCTGGTAAGGTTTTTTTTTTTTTTTTAACCCTCCAAAGATGCTTACTGTTAACACTTGAAAAAAGCTATTTTTGGGAATAATCTTCATGGGCTGACCCTTAGCTGTCCAGCTGAAATCTCTTAAAATTTCTAAACAAAAAGACCCAGCAAAACCCAATAAAAATCCCAACAAAAAACCCCCTTGGAGTATCCTTATATATCCAGAAAATGAACACAAATTGTTAAGGCATGAGGATTTTTCATTGCTTGTGGAAATCAGTGTTTCTTCTGTTTTACAAAGGGTGAAAAGACTCCAGAGAAGCTGTTTATAAAAGGTGCTTTGTCACTAAGGGGGCAAAACAAAACACGGAATCCAACTCCTTTCTGTAAATACTGGCATTTAATAAAGAGGTACATTCCCCAAACAATTCTGGCATTCAGTGAAAGCATTTATGGTAAAATGATTTAATGTTTATACAATCTGGCTTTTTAAGAGAACTCAGAAAGACATTAAAAGACAAATTACAAAAAGAATACCCTACCTTTCTGCACTTGATAAGATGATAAGGAAATCTGCAGGCCCTGATCTGGTGGTTTTTATCATAGGGACACTGTAATAACTTTTCGGGGTCCAGGGAATCGACTGAAAGAGAAAAATATGTTAAGCATATGTGGAATTACAGCATTCTGTATACTGGTTTGTCAACAGAATCTGTAAAAATAGAATACAGTCTAAAGACAAACAATTTTTTTTTTAAAGTGTAACTAAGTGTTTTTTTAAATGAAAATTAATTTTAAGTAGATAAAATTGTGTTATCATCGACTATTGATATATCCAGTACACTTAACTATCATGGGATCGGAATCTTAGTTTATGTTTGGTTGCTTATCTTTTGTTCTCGTTGTTAGTTGCCTTCGCTATAAAAACAAAAGTTAGATAAATGACCTTTTTCCCCTAAAAGTGCTAATTCAGGGTTATTCCTATTCTCTAGCTAGCTTAGCCAGAGTTTCCCAACCACTAAGTTAAAGCTTGGATGGACTGCAGGTGTGTCAATAAATCAATGTGGGACTCTTTACACCTCTCCTCCCCTCCCCCCCAAGTGCTAGAACATTCCACTAGCATCCTTAGCTATTTACTTGGTATGTCATGACATGAAAAAAGTTGGGAAACACTGCTCTTTCTCTATTATGTATCTATGGAAACTTGAGAAATATTAGTTGATAAATTTCTTTTTCATCTGTATGCCTTAACTCACTTGTATACTCTATACAGAGTCCTGGTGTGGGGCTGTGGGATAAATCACTGGACCATAAAGATAGGTTTTTGAACCTCAAAGTCAGCAGTTTAAGCTCACCGGTTCAAACTCACCAGTGTGTGCTCCTTGGAAATACTATACAGGATTGCTGTGATTTAGAACCAACTCCCTGGCACTTAACAACAAAATACTCTCTATAGGAGTCCTGGTGTGGTGCTATAAGAACTGGGCTGTGAACCACAAGGTTGGTGGTTCAAACCCACCAGTCACTCCTTGGAAACCATATATATAGGGTTGCTGCGAGTCAGAATCGACTTTACGGCACTTAACAACATAGACTATAACGAGCCCTGGTGGCACTGCGGGTTAAACACTGAGATGTTAACCTCAAGATCAGTAGTTCAAACCCATCAGCCACTCTGCAGGAGAAAGAATGAAGCTGTCTCCCCCTATAAAGATTTATAGTCTCAGAGACCCTCGGGAGCAGTTCTACTCTGCCTTTTAGGGCTGCTGAGTCAGAATAAGGAGCTCTGGTAGCATAGTGGTTATGAGTCAGGCTGCTAATCTCATGGTCAGCAGTTCGAAACTACCGGTGGGTTCCATGGGAGAAAGATGAGACTTTCTCCTCCTGTAAATATTTACAGCCTTAGAAACCCTATACAGGGTGGCTATGAGTCAGGGCCAACTCCATGGCACACTACCACCACCACCACCACGAGTCAGAATCGACTCAATGGTAATGATTTTATACAGTATTCAAAGTTTCTGATCTTGGTTACTCTAGCTCTCAGATGCAACCAATACCTTTATCAGATAGGAGGCTTTACTTTGATATTGTGAAGCAAAGATGAGAAAAATAAAAAGAACTCTTTAATCTAGATATTGCAAACTTGGCCAGCTAACAAGCAGAACAATCTGCAAAAATAAAATCTCCTGAAATTAAGACAATTGAGGACATATGGAGTTGTTATTTGAAAGAAAGCCCCTAACCTACATGTTGTTGTTGTGCCATTGGTTCTGACTCACAGCGACCCTGTATAAGGTTTCCAAGAAGTGGCTGGTGAGCTTGAACTGCCGGCTTTTCAGTTCAAACAGATCTTGTAGTCCAGTGCATTAACCCACAGCACCACACTAGGATTCCCCTAACCTACCTACATTATTAACTTCTTAGACTTTATAAGTTGCCTAGGCTGAGCCCCCAACTGAAAAAAAAAAAAACAATTTCTTTGGGTGAATGTTTATAGAATGGTTTAGGTTGCTATTCAACAATTTCTACACAAATTGTTAAGTGACACGTGATCACATTCTTTACAATATGCAACATTTTCATTTCCATTCTGAGCCCCAAATTTTAACAAGCCTGGTTAAGGAAGGGGAATCAAATGGTTAAGGACATAATGAATGTGAGGACAAGAGGCAACGTAATAAAATGCTCTTGCCACCACAGAGAATGATAAAAACGAAGATATAAATACACATTTCATCAGAAGCTTATAAACTAGAGAGACCGCTATGAAAATCAGAAGTCAGTGGGGAATTGAAAGACAGTTTCAAGGGAAGAATGGTAAACATGGAATAAATTGCTAACCATGATCGTGATGCAAATGAACCAGAAAGGTGACTTGAAGGACAGTATAAGTAGAAGAAAAAGTCTGAGGACAGGCAAGCTTATTATGTCAACCAGGCTTTTCCTGACCAGCAATTTTTTATATTTCTGAAGCTTCAGGACACCCAGGGAGAATTTACAGATGAAATTCTTATTAGTTTCCCTTCATTTAATTCATTCCATCACTAGCAAATGTCAGGCTATGTCAGCAGCTGACAGACCAAATGTACCTTATGATTCATAAACATTATACTGCCTATGCATTGGCATACGTCAGAGTTGATAAATCATGTTGTTGTTGTTGTTGGGTGCAGTCAAGTAGGTACTGACTCATAGCAATCTCATGCACAACAGAATGGAACACCATCCTGCCAACCTTAAATTTATTGCTACACTTGAGCCCACTGCTGCTGCCACTGTGCCAATCATCTCTTTTCGTTGACCTACTAGTTCCTTCTCCAGGGACTGGTCCCTCCTGATAATATGTCCAAAGTATGAGAGACGAAGTCTGGAAATCCTGGCATCTAAGGAACTTTCTGGCTGTATTTCCAAACACAGATTGGTTTGTTCTTTTGGCAGTCCATGGTACTTTCATGATTTTCCTCCAACTCCATTAACTCAAATGCATCAAGTCTTCTACTGTTTTCCTTATTCATTCATTGTCCAACTTTCACATGCTGATGAGGCTACTGAAAATACCATGGCTTGGATCAGGCGCACGTTAGTTCTCAAACTGACATTTTTGCCCTTGAACACTTTAAAGAGGTTTTGTGCATATGTGCCTAATGCAATACTTCATTTGTTTATTGACTGCTGCTTCCATGAGTGTTGATGGTTGGTGATCTGAGCAAAGTTCAGGCCTTTGACAACTTCCATCTTTTCTCCATTTATCTTGATGTTATTTATTGGTCTAGTGGTGAGTTTTGTTTGCTCTACACTGAGGTGCAACCCATATTGATCTTCATTAGTTTAAGTATTTTAAGTCCTCTTTGCTTTTAGCAAGCAAGATTGTATCATCTGCATTTATTGCAGGTGTTGAGTCTTCCTCCAATACTGATGCCACGTTGTTCTTCATTATAAATGAGCTTCTCAGATTATTTGTTCAGCATGCAGACTGAATAAGTATGGTGAAAGAATACAGCCTGGGTGCACACCTTTCCTGATTTTAAACCATTCAGTGTCCCCTTGTTTTGTTTGAACGACCGTCTCTTGGTTTGTGTACAGGTTCCTCATGAGCACAGTGAAGTGTTCAGCATACTCATCCTCCGCAAGGCCATCTGTAGCTTGTCATGGTCTACATAACTAAAAGTCTTTGCATAGTCCTTTGCATAGTCAATAAAACATAGGTAAACACTTTTTTGGTATTCTCTACTTTCAGCCAAGATCCTTCTGTTGCCAGCAACGATACCCCTTGTTTCACATCCCCATCTGTATTAGGCTTGAACCTCTGGCAGTTCTCTGTTAATGTACTGTTGCAGTTGTTTTCGAATTATCTTGAGCAAAATTTTACTTGCATGTGATATTAATGATGATGTCCAATGATTTCCGCGTTCTGTCGGGTCACCTCTTTGGAATGGGCACAAATATGGATCTCTTCCAATCAGTTGGTCAGGTAGCTTTCTTCCAAATTTCCTGGCATAGATGAGTGAGTGCCTCCAGAGCTGGAGCAGTCTGTATTCCATTTATTCTCGGTGCCTTGTTCCTTGCCAATGCCTTCAGTGCACCTTGGACTTTAGCATCACTGGCTCTTGATCACATACTACCTCTTAAAAAAAAAGGTTGCACATTGACTATTTCTTTTTGGTACAGTGATTGTGTATTCCTTCCATCTTCTTTTGCTGCTTTCTGCATCATTCAATATTTCGCCCACAAATCCTTCAATATTGTAAAATTTAGGCTTGAATTTTTTTTTTTTAATGTTTTATTGTGAATTATATGATAGTTTACATGGGAGAACTTTAGTTTTACATTCATTCCATTGTATATAATCTCACTGCCATGGTTCCAATCCCCTCCATGCATCCTCAACCACCCAAAGGGTATATCCCAGAAACCCGCTCCCTACACTTCCCCCTTTCCTCCCCCCAGTTTTTGGCCCATAGTCCCTTTCCCTCTCTGGGTCCAAAGTCCCCAGTCGCTTCATCACTCCATGTCATCATCTCTGCCTCCATCTCAGGCATCTCTGTTTCTCTGGGTAGGGTCCCGCTCTCGGCTCTTCTCCATTGATGGTCCCAGAGGCCTCCGCTCCTATCCTGGAGAAT